TGAGAGAGAGAGCACGAATGGGAGAGAGGGGCAGAGGGAGAGACAGAGGGAATCTTTAGCAGGCTCCACACTCAGCGGGGAGCCCAACACAGAGCTCTATCCCACGACCCTGGGATCATGACCTGAACTGAAATCAAGAGTCAGATGCTCAATTGACTGAGCCATCTAGGTGCCCCAGGGCTATCTTAAATGTGGTTACAATGTTTTCTTTGGCACTGATGGAACCTCCTTCTTTTCATTAACTAGGAGTATTCTCATGATTTCAGAAGAAATAGGTATACTTTTAAGGGACAGATACTTAGGCAAATAATTTCTCCCTCTATCTCTAGTGCCCTACACAATGCCTACTACATGGCTAGCACCCAATGAATGCTTGTGGAATGAAGTAATTTTCTATATGCAGTCAAAAAAGGATTACCTTAAACTTAAATTCCACACTTGATCAAGGAAGCATTCTCCTCCCATTCCTTCGAAAAGTACATGTTATCCTGTGGGGCAAAGGGTGGGTCTAAAATGATCTCCTCAGAGGAACCCAGAAGTAGAAAGTAGAACTGTCTTCCATGGATTTTATTCCATGGAATAAAAAAGAATGAATATTAGCTTGTAAGTTACTTCTAGTAAATCAATCCTTTTTCCCCTCTTAAACTTATAATTATGAAGGGAAGTATAATAACATTTTACTGCAAAGAGATTTAGTAATTCTGGCAGTACTTCATTAATCACTTAATCAGTGTTCAAGCAGAACTGATGTCCTTGACATATATAATCAATCTTGATTCCTCCCACATTTGATTTTCATACTTTTTAAAACCTGACTATAGACGCTAAGGATTGGTGGCTTTTTTTCACATTATGTGTTTGTTACAGACAGCCTATATATGCATATAATAATGATCAGAATATTGATACCCGTATTGGGTCTCCTCAGAGTTTATTTGAAGGCAATTGTTTTCTCTTCAGTGAATTTATGGAGATTAATGGTGCCAGGACCAGATTCTATTATAGTTTAATGGGAAAATGGGATTGGGTCATTTTTTAGCTTAGTGTGGCATAGTATTCTTTTGGAGATGGCATATTTATTGTTATTGGTAAGCCAGAGCTACTTGTTTATGATACATTCTGAGGAACTTTTCCAAAGCTACATTCTAAAGGCAGCTGGGCATGAAAACATAGTAACACTCCAAAAGTGAACAGCATGGGCTTAGGTGTGTCTAATATCTTCTGCTTCAGGAAGGTATTTTTATGATCACTAGTGTAACTACAGAAGTTCTGATTACACCACTCCTTTTCTCTTAACACTTAATAATTTGAACATTTAAAAATATTTATTCATCCAAAATGTTAGTAATATATAATGTCCATGTTGACTTAAAGACCATCCATTTGCCTATCCATACACTGCTTGTCAACATTATGTGTTTTTCTCTTTCTTATAAGAGAACTGCAGTATAGACTTTACAGGTAGATACTAGTTTGGAAGATGAACAGATGGAGACTCTTAATTCATGATTGCACGTATATTTGAACAAACAAGAAAAATATTTTGTTATCTTGATTTTGAAGAGTATTTTTCCTCCATAAAAGGTGATCTCAGGATCATTTAACACTAAAAAGTCTACACACACTGTGTGCTACAGAAGCTAGAGTAAAATGCATTTTTCTGCTAATGATAGAAGTCTTTGGGGGATGCTCATATTAGCACTCTTCAGTGTTCAACCAGATCTGCAGTTGCATTTGCAGACCAAGAATCAGGAAGCCAGAGGGATAATAGTAACAATAATAATACTAACAACTTGCTGAAGTCTTCCCATGCCAAAGTGGTGTGTGATGTGCTTTGCATGGGTTACTTAATGGAATGCCCTTAACATCCCTATGAGATCAGTATCACACATGCTCCCAGTTCAAAAAGGAAAGGTGAGGCTTACTGAGATTAAAAAACTTGCCCAAAGTTCCAGACTGATCTGCCTGATTCAAGAGCCCTCAACCACTCGCCAGGTAGGCTGTCTATCCATCTTAGGTGTATAAACTGAGGCCCAGAGAGCTGAGGTCTAGCCAGTAAGTAGGTGGATACATTTGAACAAGTAAATGAGATAGAAGCTAAACTACAGAACAGTTATAGTAAAATGATTTTCCTTTAGTAAAAAATTAATGAAACTCCGAGCTAGCTAGAAAGTAATTAGGAGATTACAACAGAAATTAAGGTTAACGTTCTACCCAGGCGTGAAAAGGTGAAAAGAAGAGTTGGAGAGAAGGTTAATTATCAGAGTCTACATCACATTGGCAAGGGGCAGATTTGATCTTGAATGACTATTACTAATAACCATACAGACATGGTCTTCATTAGGAAAACAAATTTCCTGATCTAAATGAAATCTCCCTAAAACCATTCATTCTCTTCCCCCACCCAAACACACACTCCCTTCTCTTTTGCTCTGATATATGATGATCAAAGCAATTTTCTGACAACTAATTCAACTCCTCAAATATATGCTTATAAGTAAGGTTATCAATTATTAAATGAGGTATAGCTTTCATTAATACATTGACAATCTTTTTTTTAACAATGTCTTAAGTGATTTTGGTTACTGTAAATCAATTCTCAGCCTAAGTAACTTAGGAAAAAACAAAAGAACTTTCCCCTTGTCCCCATGCACAAGGAAGCCCGTTCCATGCTGTTCCAAATCCCTAGAAGGCCTCTGCCTGTCACTTCTATACCCCTGCCATAGGACACGACTTGCCCTGAATCAGTCATTTTAAAGGGAAATTGATAATGTCCCTTCAGGTTTTTAAAGAATGGACAGGAGGTAAACTACAAGAAGAGAGAATAAAAGAACTCTTGGGCCTGACCAGACATTCTGAGCTGGGTAATTCAGGAAGCCTAGGCCTGCCTGCCTACACAGGCAGACCTGTACAGCTGCTAGCACATCTAATCAACGTCAGGCATTTACTCAACTTCTAAAACATGTTCAGTACACTCTGTGCTTAGACTGAAGAAAGTAGACGTGATTTCTACCTTCAGAAAACCTATGAGAGAACAAGTTCATAATTGTATAACCGGTATCTTCCAGGCCAGTGATGAGGTGTAGTCAGATGGCAGGCAGGTACCTAATACCCATTCCCTGGCTGGGCCCTTCCAGTTTTTCCACAGGAAATTCACCCAAATATCTTCAGGGCGTTGGAGGTTCAGAGGTGCATCACAAAAGCCTACTCTCTCCATATCTCCCTGTGGCCTGTGTGGTTTTGCCACTGCCATGGTGCTCCAGTACCTCCCATGTGAAAATACACATGATGGGGGGGGCCCGAGCGGGGGTCTTGGGCATCCACTTGCTGCTGGTACCACTTAACAAGGCTTCTCTAGTGAATAGGCCATCCCCACAGCAAATGTCCCCACTTCTTTACTCCACCTGGACTCAGCACAGAGAGCAAATTGGAGAAGCTTTTCTTCCCCACCAGCTTTACACCTTGTATCAAGACATAAAGCAACACTTTGCTTCTATCCTTTCGGTTTTCTGTAGGAATTTGATGGTAGAAGTTTTCATTTCAGTGGCCCTTGATTTGGCTGCCATGTTTCTAACATTCAGGTGCTTGTCTAAAGAAAACCAAAAGATCACCATACCTCTGGGCATGCAATGTCCTTCCCATTTAGCCCTGAGTATTATTACCAATCCTTGCTCTCTCGCCAGTTGTGGTGAGTTCCTTCACCATAGTACCTCTCCCCTGTGGATTGATAGGCAGCCTTTGCTACTGGCCATGGAGGTCTTAGATCACTTTCTCATTAGTTCCAACAAGTCCATTTATATTTCCTAAGAAATGCTTCTGTTTTGTGCAAATAAAGCCTTTCTGGTGGACCCATCCATCACCTCAGATCTGTTCAAAATGGCTGTAAATTGTCACATACAACATCTTAGACATGCACACCAGGATCCTCATGACACTAGTTAATGATAAATGAAAGTTCCATGCCACGTTTCCTATTTTGTTGTTTCAGATAAAGGAATATTCGTTATCCAGAGTGAGAGCCTCAAGAAATGCATTCAAGCAGGCAAATCTGCCCTGACCCTGGAGAACTGCAAACCAGCAAACAAGCACATGCTGTGGAAGTGGGTTTCAAACCACCGCCTTTTTAACATAGGAGGCAGTGGTTGCCTGGGTCTGAATTTATCGAATCCAGAGCAGCTACTAAGCATATATGAGTGTGATTCCACTCACGTTTCCTTGAGATGGCGCTGTAACAGGAACATGATCACCGGCCCTCTCCAGTACACGGTCCAGGTGAATCACAACAACGTGCTTGTGGCCTCATGGAAATATCTTCATAAGTGGATTTCCTACATGTCAGGTGGTGGAAGCATTTGTGAATATCTGCACAAAGGTAAAAAATAATTTAAATGAAAGTACTTATGAAATCACATACTTAGAAAGATTATCCCTAAGTAAAGATTTGTAAATTATATGACAGCACCCAGAGCCTCAAGGGACTTCTGCTAAATACATTTTAGTTGCTACTTGCTTATCATAAAAGGATTATTGGAATCTTAGAATGAACTTGCTAAATTCAGCTAATGAAGCAAACTCAGAATTTAAAGGTTTTAGAGGAGAAAACACTTAAATAACTCAATGGAAAGGGGACGAAAGAACAGAAGTATAGGAGACAAAGAGAAAATAAAGGTGGAAGATAAAGTCTGTGAAGTAAAGACTTGTCAGGATGAATAGAAGAACCTCTCCTGCCACGGTTTCTATTATTGTACAAACTCAGCCCCAGGTATGAGCATGTCTACAGAGCACCTCAATGCCTCCTCATGCCTGCCTGGCATCCATGTGATGGTCATGTACAAGGCATTGAAAGATAAACCACACACGACTGTCAGGAACAATTGGCAAGTGTCAAGCGGTGGGAAGAATGGTTTCAGGAGTGGGGGCTTTCATCCTCCGTAGCTCTATAATACTTGACATGTTAAGCAGCAAAAAATAAATAAATAAATAAATAAATAAATAA